AGACTCCAAGAATGAACTAGTGGTTACCAAAGGGGAGGGGTGTGGGAGGGCGGGTGGGGAGGGACGGAGAAGGGGACTGAGGGGTATTATGTTTAGTACACATGGTGTGGGGGATCCCGGGGAGAACAGTGTATCACAGAGAAGGGACATAGTGGGTCTCTGGCAATTTGCTGCACTGATGGACAGTGACTGCACTGGGGTGTGGGTGGGGACTTGATAATATGGATAAATGTAGTAACCACATTGTTTTTTCATGTGAAAGCTTCATAAGAGTGTATATCATCATACCTTAATAAAAAATTTAAAAAAAAATAGACAACGGGCCTAGTAACTGTTCTGCATGGTGTCCATAGGGCCTCGGTGCGTGAAGGCAGTGCCGGCCCTCAGTGAGGGTCAGTGTACAAACACTGAAACCTGACGCGCTGCTAAAGTAAGATGACAAACAAGGACATAAACCGAACCATGAAGAAACAGATCCAAAGAAGGCAGAGAGGAAAGGAGGGGAGCAGGTGGAAGAAACTGACAAGCCGCCCCATCCAGGCACTTTGTTGTTGCAGCCCAACCAGACACCCCCATGAGAACACCCCGACGTGACCGCCAGTGTGACCACCGGGTCCAGGGCCAGCGTCAGACTCCAGAAGTGCCCCAGCCTACCCGTGGTCACCACCACCTGGCCACCAGCGCCCAGGGTCACACAGATGGTGGCCTGTGTCCCCCCACCAGAGAGCAAACACCTGGTAACCCACCACCTACGTGCTCAGAATGCAAAGGCAGCCCAGATAACCGCCGCCCCAGCCAAACCCCAAACCCACTTGGCCAGCTTTTTCTGTTTGCTTTTCACTCCACGTCCACTGGCCATCAGCATCACGCTAGCATGGGAGGGCCCTTTTAGCCAGTGGGGCAGAGAGGGTCTGGAGGTGCAGGGTAAGTGCCCACCAGCCTCTTGCAGAGCCCTCTCTCTGGGGTCAGTGTCCCTCCCAGCACCTCGCCTGTGGTGCTGGCTCTCTGGTTGCACTGTTGCCCCAGCAGCTCAGGATGAGGGTCTAGAAAGGCTAAGAAGCAGGATTTGGCCTAAGGTGGACAGGAGGCAGGAGAGAAGAGCAGGTGAGGGTCTGGGATGTGGGAACCGGGGAGAGCCTGGGGCATAACTCGTCTGTGGCTCCTGGGGAGGGCGCTTGTCTTGGGGGAGCAGGGGCTGCAGATCGCCAGCAGGCTCAGGAAGGACACCAGGTGAGCAGCTCCTGCAGGACAGTCAGCCTGCTGGGACTCCAGACACACAGCTCAGCCCAGGGCCCTGAGGAAGGCTACTCTGACTCCAGGCCTGCGGTCCCCCCTCTGACCTCCAGGAAATCTTAATTCTGACCACTCCAGGCTCCGGTCCACACCATCTCTCCAGGCAGTGGGTGCCCCTGGAATGGGCCCAGCTCTCAGGCTGCCCACTGGACCCAGGCTGGGGGCAATGGCCATGGTCCCCCCCCCCATACTCCCAATCTGGCAAAGGGTCAGTCCAGGCTGAACCCTCAGCCTTGCCCTTGACCCCAGAAGTCCAGGACATCCCACTTTGCACCCTGACTCAGCAGGAAATCACATGGCCATGGGTCCCATTGCTGGCAGCTTTTAATGCCTAAATGCCACCTGCCCACTCCTCAGATAGGTGATGGCAGCTGGCCAGGCCAGGGTCTGGCTGCCACAGAGGCCAGAGCCCACTCCCATGTTGAAATATTCCCCCAGTGCACCCGGAACCCGCAGCTTCCAGTCCTTTGATCTGGTGATTAGTGGGGCCAAGCCTCAGGGGGTTTGCCTCCCACCTGCCATCCCTCCTAAAATGGCACACCAGACAGGTGGGGCCCAGAGGGGTGGGCCTGCCTGTGTGTCCACTGGTGCCTCCAAAAACCAAAGTCCAGCAAACCCAGGCTTGGGAGCTTCTTGCCCATGATGGACACCAGGCCTCACACCTATTCCAGAGCTTTCTGGAAGCAACTGCCACCAGAGAATGCCAATATCCTCATCCAGGTTCCAAGTGAAGGTGTCAGGGCTGCCTGGAGAAGCACCATCTAAGGGACAGTGCCCACCCTCTCAACTGAACCAGGAAGCTGGAAAAGGCATGCAGGGCCCCTATCCCTGGACACTGGGCTCTGTGCTAGGAGCTGGCACAGGGCAGACTTCAGGCCCCCAGGCCCACCTGGGGTGACTGGTGCTGCTTGGGACTGGCTTCACAGACAGGGTGAGGCCAGAGGTCTGAACTGGGGCACATGGGTGGACAATCGGCCCGTTGTCTGGACCGCGGATTCTGCTTCCCAAGCCAGCCAGCGGGATGCCTTTATCGCCGAGATTGCTCGGAACAATGGCAGCACACACGCTTATCACCCACTGTTTGCCCAGCACGCCCAAGTGTTCCCAGATCTGCACACAAGCACCATGCTCTGTGATTTCCCGCCAAACCAGTGTGTGGAAAAGGAAATACACTTTTGGGATGGAGCCTTGCTGGGATGGAGCCCAAGTGGGACACCAGAAACATGGCAGGGCCAAAGCCGTCCAATATCTGCAGCCCAGGAGACTGACCAGCCTGCGGTGATAGATCCTGGAACGCACACGGCAATTTTTCCAGGAAACTGAACTGAGTCTCACACACACGCCTATGCATGTGATCCGGTCCAGATCCTGCAGGCAGCCCTGCTGCAGTCTGGGTGACATCCGACCAGCCAGGACACAGCTGAGCCCTGCAGCTGCTGGGGTAACTCTGGGGACCCCTCCTTGAGCCCAGAAGTGTCCTCAAGACCACAGTTCCTCCCTCCAGCTCCATCCTTCTCTCATCCCCTCGTGTCCTGAGGTGCTGGGACACATGGAGTGCAGGCTGATGGGCTGTGGGGCTAGGCAACAGCACTTGACATGCAGGGTCCATAAGCAGAAGTGGACAGAGGCATGGTCAGCAGAGAGAGGAGCCAAGGAGTGCCTGGAGGGGCTGTGTGAAGGGCACCACAAGCAGCCCATGCAAGGCCCTGTGGCTGGGTACCTGCTGGGGTGGCAGCAAGCAGGCACAGGCTGGGTGGAGCAGGTAAAGCAGCTGGGGCCCTGCAGAGGGATGGGGTATGGGCCATCAGAGAACAAGGCCTGGGGCTCCATTCCACTGCCCACCCAGGCTGCAGGGGACACCAGGGAACAGCCCCGCCTGGCCCCACTAGAGCCTGGCCGGCCCACTGCAGCTGCCCCGAGGCCCCAGAGTGCTTTACCTGCTGGGAGATGACCCCGTGAGTGCGGGGCAGGCAGCCTCAGCGTGTTTCCACCAGGAGTCTTGGCCTTCTCCTTCTCCTGTTATTCTGTGGGCCTGACTCGGCACCCCCAGTGCCCCACATCGGGCACTTGTCCCTTGTCCCTGTAGGGCCTGCCCCTACCCATCAGGGCCTACATTCAGTGCTCTACGGGACCTCTGTGGGGTGTGAGCTCTCTGAAGACGGGGAGCCTCACAGCAGCCCCACACGGGGCCTAGACCCATGCCAGACACAGCCCGCCTGTGTGACCAGCTCACTGTAGCAGCCCCACCCCAGATCTGTATCTGCCCCAGCCTCTCGGCCCTCCTCGGCTTCGGGTTCCCTTCCCGAGGGGCCACTGAGGGCACTCCGGAGAAACACCAGAGCAGAATGGGGAACCTTCCGCCCTCCTGGCCTGGGCTCAGCACCCGAGGGTCAGCAGCTCAAGAAGACCAGTTTTCCATTAAAACTAAAGTCTGTTCAACATAAATACGAGATACCTGCTGCCTCTGTGTGGCAGGGTCTCTAGAGCTGGGTGGGCAGCCTGCATCAGGCCACGCGGGGCTCTGTGGGCTGTAGGGCAGGCACAGCCCCATGGGGGAGCCAGCCTGGGGAAGGTCCTCAGTGGGGGGAGCCCAGGGACCATGCATCCTGAGTCTCCATGGGGCCAGAACCACCCTTGGGAAAGGGGAACCCCATGGGCCCCCATGTGGGCTCCCACTGGGACCAAGCTGCCCTGGAGAGCAGAGACCCACACCTGCTTCCCGACTACAAGACGGTCCTATGGAGAACTCAAAAAACACTCGTGTCCCCAGGCATGATCCTTGCCTTATCATGACCCTCACTGAACCTGACCTGGCCCTCAATCTCCCTCCCCCTGACCATAACCCCCAACGCACTGGCCTGTGACCCACCAGCCCCGCCCAATCCTTGATCGCCAAGCCACCCCAGAGATGGGCAGCCCCCTGAGGCCACCCACCCCTGCTCCTGAGACAAGCAGCTCAGAGCCCTGGTGGGGTGGGGGAAAGAAAACTAACTGAGGGCCCCCGGGGGCAGCATGACACCCCACCCCAGGAAGCTGCTTGAGGAGGATCTCCAGGAGCAAGCTGGCCCGCCGAGGCCCTACAGCTGGGATGTGGTGTCCTGGGCCCCGAGGCCCGCTGCCCATCCTGATGATCCCGCCACGAAGGGCAGTCTGGGCTGGCCTCACCTCTGAAGGGGTCCCTCTATTCAGTGATCTTTCCTCCCAGGGTGGGGGGTGGAGCCCAGTGTGCTGGCACCATTAGCACCCTGGAGTCCAGGTGAGGATGAAGCTCACCCCAGGAGCACCCCAGCACGTTGGGCTCTGCCAAGGGGCAGAGGGGGCACCCAGGTGTCTCCCCCACATGCTCTGGACAAGGCCCCTATTGGCCCCCGGGGAGTAGCTGATGGCATCCATGTTGAACCCCCAGAAGAATCCTGCAGGATGGCCCTGGCAATCAGCCTGGAGCAAACACCGGAAGTATTTGCAGCATCATGGAGGCTGTGTGCCAGCCCCTGCTTGGAGGCCAGTGATAGAGGGGCTGCCGCCTGCCCAAGAATTTTTCAAAGGCCAAGTCCTGGTAAACACTACCCAAGATCCTGTTTGGCCACCACTGCAGTGGGCCGGCAGGGGTGATTATGGGGCCGTGGTGTGGGGCTTGGGCAGGCGTGGCGGGGGCAGGGCCCATGGCCCCTATATAAGGTGCCCAGGGCTGGCCACTCAGTCTGCACAGGTGCAGCAAGACTGCCCAGTGTCCAGTGGTGGGAGAAGCAAGGTCCAGCGGTGACCTCTTCTCCACAAGCCATGCTCAGGCCCCAGCTGCTGCTCCTCCTGTCCTTCGGGGAGGCCCTGCTCAGCACTGGTGAGTAGGGGCCTGCGGGCCACAGCCAAGGGCAGCCAGATGCCCTCAGAAGGCCTCTGCATGTGGGAAACCTCCCAGGGCTTCTCATGTCACTGGGCCAGAGGCAGGCTGGCCATGAGACACCGGCCGACGAGACCCCTCCCTGCACAGTGGCCACCCACACTTGCTGATTCTCCATAGGTGGCCTGGAGCCCAGCCCAGCCAGTGTGGGGGGCTGACTGCAGGCTGCCCCTCCCCTCCACAGTGGCTGGGCAAGAAGGGTGGGGGGCCGCCACAGGGCAGGGGTCCCTCAGGCATATGTGGTCTCTTCAGTAGCAGCAGGCCTGGCCCGATTCAGGAGTTCTGGACAGGATAGCATGGGGGCTTGGCACCAGAGTCCGGCACTCACTCTCCCCACTGGGCCCAGGCTCCTGAGGGGTCTCTAACAGGTGGCCAGAGGGTGTGTAGAGGGCAGCAGGGCAGGGGCTTCAGGGGTGCTGGAGCTAAAAGACCCAAGTGAGACCCTGGCTTACCATGTCCTGACCCGACAGGCAAGCCACAAAGTGGGGGTGACAGCTCCCCCTCAAGTGGACGCCACAGGACTCAGGGGGAGGCCAGTGCTCGCTGATTCACAGGCAGCAGGCTCTCTGCACCTCCTCTGCCTGCCTGAGTCCAGGGGTCTGAACCCAGCAGGACCAGCTCCCTGCTCTCAGCCTTTCGCTTTGGGGGCCCAGAGCCCCACTAGCCTCCGCTGGAGAGCCTGGGTGTTAAGCGGGGCCCCCGGGGCCCAGACCCAGTGAGCGCAGGTCACTCCAAGCTCCTGGGTCTCCCCTGGGCCCGTCCCACCCCTCCCCTCCCACAAGGCCCCTCTCCTCCCCTCTAGGCAGGGCCTTTCGCTCTGGGGCTGGCTGTGGGCACTCAGGACCCCTGCCCAGCAGGTGCCAGCTTCCTGGACCCATCCCTAGCCCTGGGATTCCCAGACCCAGACCCAGGATCTGAGTGAGGAGGGAGGCGCCCGGGAGCCAACTGGGAGGGCTTGCAGGCCTGCAGGTTGGCAAGGGGCTGCACCCCTGCTGAGTTCAAGGGGTTCGGGCTGAGTGCTGCAGAGGGTGAAAGGGCGGGGGTCTGAATTTCACCTGCGCTCTGAACGCCAACTCTGCTGATGTGGGAGAGGCGGGCCCTGCCTCCCTCCCCCGAGAGGCCAACAAAGCATGAGGTCGGCTGCTGGGGGCTACAGGGCCTGGAGCTGTGAAGGGTGGGTGGGAGGCCCCTGAGCCGGGTCAGGGTCTGGCCAGAACAGGCAGGGCGGGCAGGGCCAAGCATGCAAAAGAACAGCACATTCTCTGGCTGCTGTGGGCGTGTCCCTGAGGACCCCTGGGTCTGGCCCAGGTCAGTGCCTGTTCTGAGATTTGGGAAACACAGATGGCGGCAGGGCACTGGCCTCTTGAGCATCTTCAAAGGAGCCTCCGCCGGGGGTGGGCGGGGTCACTGGGTGGGCTGGGCAACGGCAGAGCAGAGCACAGGAGACAGGGCTGGGGAGCCTGGCACAGCGGTCCTGGAGGAGCCAGTGGGAGGTCTCTGTCAAACCCCAGAGGGCCTTGCATGCCTGAGAGTGAGCTTGTGAGTGCCAAGAGCCTGATGGGCAGACCAGCAGGTACCACAAGCCCTCTGCCTACCACCCCTGAGGCCCCAGGCCAGTGCCCCAGCCCCAGGTCTCCCCAGGAACCTCCCTGGGGCTGCACCTCCTCCGCCTCAGGCCCTGCTCACTATTGCACTGTGTGTGCACACACTTCACCCTCCTGAACAAGCTCTCTGGGGTAAGCGCGTTGTGCCCACTGTGTACCCAGCTGAACTAGTGATGGAGTGCACATGTGAAGAACCAGACTGAGGCCCAAGGCCGTGCTGCCCACCGCAGCCCGGCGTCATCTAGCCAGCTCCATGCCAGGGGCAGCAGCTCCTCCAGCAGCAGCAGGCAGTCCCGGCACTGACCACAGGCCCTGTCCACACAGGTCTGAACGACTCCTCTGTGCACCCAGGACTCAGGAGGCCGAAGGACTTCCCACCGACAGGTGAGAGCCACACACGGCACCCCATCCTGCAGACCTGCCCAGAGCATGGCCATGGCCTTGACACAGGGAGGAAGAGCCTCAGCTGGCTCCTCATCCAGAGCAGACAAGCTTATGCTGCCAAGAAGGGTGGGGGCCCTGCTGGGTGGGGACCCAGCTGCAGCTGTGTCCTACAGACCCCAGAACTGATGACATCAACCAGGACAGTGGCCTGCACTCCTGTGACGCTCACAGCAGGCTGCAGGCCCCAACCGGGAGCTGGGTGGGTGTGGGGGGCAGGCCCTTTCTCACCCACCCCCGAGATGCTGGAACTGGGGAGGCCACTTGTCTCCCCAGGGGCCCAGCTTATGGGGCAGGCTGCCCAGACCTGCCCTGACAGCGTGGGTGGACATAGGGCTCCGAGACCCCATCTGCTCTCTCCATAGCTCCAGGCAGGGGCTGGTGCTCCACATGGGGAACCAGCCACTTCTCCACCTTTGACGGCCACACGTACGACTTCTCGGGGACCTGCAACTACATCTTCGCGGCTACCTGCAAGGACGCCTCATCCACCTTCAGTGTCCAGTTACGGCGAGGACCCGACGGGAGCATCTCCCGGGTCATTGTGGAACTAGGAACCTCTGTGGTTACCGTGCAGAAGATGGTCATTTCCATCAAGGACGTGGGGTAAGCCAAGGGGCTAGGCGGGTTGCTGGGGGGCCAAGGGGACAGCTGCTGACTGCTTCCACCCCACAGGGTCATCACCCTGCCCTACACCAGCAATGGCCTTCAGATCACACCCTTCGGCCAGAGCATGCAGCTGGTGGCCAAGCAGTTGGAATTGGAGCTGGTGGTCATGTGGGGCCCGGGAGACCACCTCATGGTGAGGACGCGTGGAGTGGGCAGGGCAGGGGATTGCCTCCTGGGGAGTCCCAACCATCCCTCAAGCTCCTGCAATGTGGCCCTGACCCCAGCCAGGAGGTAGCGCAGGCCTGGGTTTTGCTGGTGGCTCAGTTTCCCTACTTGAAAGTGAGCACAGCCCCCAGGAGGAGCAAGGTGGGTGGCCTTCTCAGCTGGGCCAAGGGTCCTGGGCCCTGAGAGCAGTGCCCACCCACTTGCAGGTGCTGGTGGAGAGGAGGCTGGCAGGCAAGCTGTGTGGGCTCTGTGGGGATTTTGATGGCCAACCCACCAATGAGTTTCTGCAAGACGGTAGGTGTTGGGGGAAGATGGTAGGTGAGAGGCCCCGCTCCCCCTGACCAGTCCCTGAGGTGCTGACCCACCCAACCCACCTTCCAGGCAAACTCCTGGAACCCCACAAGTATGCCGCCCTCCAGAAGCTGGATGACCCCAACGAGATCTGTGCCTACGAGGCCATTCCTGGCACCAGAGTCCTACACACAGAGCATGTACGTGAGCTTGTTGGGCCACTAGGGGCTGGGGACCCTTCAGCCAACAGGGTTCCTGAGGCCCGCAACTCCCCCCTCTCCCCAAGTCTTCCAAGTCACATTTGTGGTGTGGGATGTAGCCTAGACCTGCATGACCTTGACTGGCCCTCTGCCCAGGCTCGGACCTGCTCACGGCTGCTGACCCTGGTGTCCCCTGAGTGCAGCGTGCCCAGGGAGCCATTCCTGCTGGGCTGCCAGGCGGACATGGCCACATGCGCCCATCCAGGCCAGTGGAACTGCAGCTGCGCCACACTGTCCGAGTACTCACGCCAGTGCAGCATGGCCAGCCAGCCTGTCCGCAGCTGGCGGGGCCCCAGCCTCTGCTGTGAGTCTGGGGGAGGGTGGCACAAGGGCCAGGGCCTCAGATCCTGATGCCCCAAGGGCTGCCTTCTCCACAAGGAGGAGACCTGGGTGGAGGAGGCGCTGAGCTAAGCCCTGGGCAGGGCTGGGCAGGTTGGCAGCCCTGGTACCCCTCCCTCACTGGGGCCACTGTGCACCTGCAGCTGTGGGCCGGTGCCCAGCAAACCAGGTGTACCAGGAGTGCGGTGAGGCCTGCACCAGGACCTGCTCCAACCCGCAGCACAGCTGTGCCAGCTTCTGCACCTTTGGCTGCTTCTGCCCAGAAGGTGAGGGCACTGGCCCTCCCCAGGGCCCTCAAAATGAGCCCCGAGATGCATCAGCCCCATCCCCACCAGGCACAACAGTGCCATGACCTAGCCTGCCTTGAACGCTCTGCTGGGAACTTGCCCAGGGGAGGGCTCTTCCCACAATGGCTCACAAGTGTTCACAGCCTTGAGTCATTCAGGCCCCCGGCCACAGGCTGCTGCTCACTCAGAGCCTGGGTTGGGGACATTGGCATGAGGCAGATGGGGGTCACACGTACAGGAGGACGGGGGGATTCTGCTGGCCACAGCCCCAGCAAGCCCTCTCCTACAGGTATGGTTCTTGATGACATCTCCAAGAACCACACCTGCGTGCCGGTCACCCAGTGCCCCTGCACACTCAACGGGGTGGTCTACCCACCTGGGGAGGTCACAACAGCCGCCTGCCGGACCTGGTGAGCACAGGGCAGGGCAGTTTTCAAGGGCAGGTGGAGAGCATGGGGATGCGCAGGCTTGGGGGTCGTGGTGGCCTCAGGCCTGGAGTGCCTGGGGGCTCTCTGGCTGCGGCAGCCCACCTACCACTCTGGCCCTCACCCCACCTGCAGCCGGTGCACCATGGGCCACTGGACATGCACGAATCGGCCCTGCCCCCGGCGCTGCTCCCTGGAAGGTGGATCCTTCGTCACCACATTCGATGCCAGACACTACCGCTTCCATGGCACCTGCACCTACGTCCTCCTCCAGGTATGATGCACCTGCCACCAGGCAGCTGGCACGGGGCCTCCACAGGCATCCCCAGGCCCTCAGTTCTGAGCCGTCCCTCTTCCTAGAGCCTGCAGCTCCCCGACAGGGCCTCCCTCATGGCTGTGTACGACAAGTCTGGGTACTCTCACTCGGAGACCTCCTTGGTTGCTGTCATCTATATGTCTAGCCAGGTGAGGCCTCCTCAGATGCATCCCCACTGCATCCAAGCTCCCGCTTCCCCTGTCTGGCCTGCAGGAGAGGGAGGGCTCCCCTACCTACAGCCCCCAGTGACTCCGGCCACTTTCCCTCCAGGACAAAATCGTGATTTCTCAGGATGAGGTGATCACCAACAACGGGGACGCCAAGTGGCTGCCGTACGAGACTCGTAGGTCCCCAGCTGCAGCCAGCACCTGGGGCCCCACTGGGCCAGGGTCCCAGTGCGGGCAGCCTGCTGAGCCTCCTTGTCCCCCCAGGCAACATCACGATCTTCCGACAGACATCCACCCACCTTCAGATGGCCACCACCTTTGGGCTGGAGCTGGTGGTACAGCTACAGCCCGTGTTCCAGGTGTACATTACCGTCGGGCCCCAGTTCAGAGACCAGACGAGAGGTGAGCCCCCACTCCGCCTGCCCAGGATTGGCCCAGGTGCCCCATCCTCTGACCCAGAGCATTGAGCACTTGAAGCCTCAGGCCAGCAGCACCCCCACCACGTGGCAACCAGCTTTACCAGCAGTGCAGCCAATGGCCTCTTGCCCAGGGTGTGGTCAGGGGGTCCTCAGGGAGCGTGGGGCAGGACAGGGCCATGGACTGGCCCACCCTCATGGGCTTGCCGGCTCAGGACTCTGTGGCACCTTCAATGGGGACACCATGGATGACTTCATGAGCAGCACGGGCATTGTGGAGGGTACTGCAGCGCTCTTTGTGGACTCCTGGCGGGCAGGCAACTGCCCAACTGCGCTTGAGCGTGAGACGGACCCCTGCTCCATGAGCCAGCTCAACAGTGAGTGTCCGGCCCCAGGAAGGCTGTGGGAGTGGGCAGGAGGCTCTCACCAGGTGGGCGGGAGACCCATGCCGAGCCTATCCCCCCAGAGGTATGCGCGGAGACCCACTGCTCGGTCCTGGTGAAGAAGGGCACGGTGTTTGAGGAGTGCCATGCCACAGTGAACCCCAAACCCTTCTACAAGGTGGGTGGGGCTGTGGGAGGGGAGGCTGTGGGTGAGGTGCCCTCAGGAATCCCAGGTGGCCAGGCTGGGGGCAGGCACCCACAGCCACTGTCTGCCCGCAGAGGTGTGTGTACCAAGCCTGTAACTACGAGGAGACGTTCCCGTACATCTGTGCCGCCCTGAGTGACTACGCCCGTGCCTGTGCCTCATGGGGTGTCCCGCTCTGGGGCTGGAGAAGCAGCGTGGACAACTGCAGTGCGTGCTGGCAAGCGGGGCAAGGGATGGCCCCAGGGTTATGCTAGGGCAGGGGGCACAGTTTGGGGCTTGGGGCCTTGAGCTCTGCCAGGCCCTTCCCTGAGGGTCTGACTCCTGGGTCACCGCAGCCATCCCCTGCACGGGCAACCAGACGTTCAGCTATGACAGCCAGGCCTGCGGCCGCACGTGCCTCTCACTCTCTGACCGGACGGCTGAGTGCCACCCCAGTGCCGTGCCCTTGGACGGCTGCAACTGCCCTGAGGGCACCTACCTGAACCACAAGGCTGAGTGTGTGCGCAAGGCCCAATGCCCCTGCCTCCTGGACAACCACAAACTCATTCTGGCCGACCAGTCGACCATGGTCAATGGCATCACCTGGTGAGCAAGGGACTCCCGGGTGGGGTGGCCCCTTGCCAGCCTGCAGCCCCAGCCTGGCTGGCGTGCTCACCAGGCCTCTCTCTTGCAGCCACTGCATCAATGGGCGGCTGAACTGCCCAGGGCGGCCACTGATGCTCTTGGGTACGTAGCCATGGCTGGGGTGGGCCTCGACCGCGAGGTGCCATGGCTTCTGAGCCTGCCTCACCCCATGCCCCCTCTTCCCTGTAGCATCCTGCCCTGACCCCAAGATATTCCAGTCCTGCAGCCAGTCCTCGGAGACCAAGTTTGGGGCAGCCTGTGCCCCCACATGTCAGATGCTGGCCACCGGCATCCCCTGCGTAAGGCCAAGTGGAGGGGATCAATGTGTCCCCAGAGGGAGGGAAGCCCCCAGAGCCCTTCCCTGGGCCCAGAGCAGCTTCTGCACCAGTCTCCAGGGAGGGGGTTGTGCTCTGTCTTGCTGTCCCTGTCATCCCACAAGGAGTCTGGCTGCCACCTGGAGGCGCTGGGAGGGTCCAGAATGGCTGGGCAGCTGAAGGGTGGGTGTACTCATCTGGGGCTCCCTGAAGACTGTGGGTTGGGCTCCTACCAAATGGAGAGAGGACACAGCAGCCCAGACACAACACAGAAGTACCAGAACCTTCCCTGAGGCAGGGGTTGGGGGGTGTTTGTTAACAGGCCAGGGCAGGGTGGACACAGAGGGCCAGAAGGAGGGCCTGGGGCTGGGTAACAGCAGACAAGGCCACCCTCCCAAGGGCTGCTGACCCTCCACCCTGCAGGTGCCCACCAAGTGTGAGCCCGGCTGTGTCTGTGCCAAGGGACTTTACGAGAATGCCCAAGGGCAGTGCGTGCCCCCCGAGGAGTGCCCGTGTGAGTTTGCAGGCATCTCCTACCCCCAGGGCGCCAAGCTCCACACGGACTGTAAGGCCTGGTAAGCTGTGGCCTCGCCTGCAGACCCAGTGGCCTGGGCTGTCCTTGGGGTTTCCCGGGGCAGGCAGGGGTCCCCCACAAACCCCACCAAGGTCAGGGTCCCACAGGGTGCATGTGACCCAGGTGTTCCAAAACCCAAGAGCCACTCCCCTTCTCCAGCACCTGCTCACGGGGGAAGTGGTCGTGCCAGCAGAGTGCCCGCTGCACATCCACCTGTACCCTGTACGGGGAGGGCCACGTGCTCACCTTTGACGGCCAGCGCTTCGCGTTCAATGGCAACTGCGAGTACATCCTGGCCACAGTGAGCCCCACGTTAGGGCTGCGGGAGGGAGTCGGGGGCCCTCTGCAGGCCCCTTCTTAGCACTGCCTCCCCACAGGACGGCTGCAGCGCCAATGACTCACAGCCGGCCTTCAAGATCCTAACAGAAAATGTGGTTTGCGGGAAGCTGGGTGTCACCTGCTCCCGGGCCATCAAGATCTTCCTGGGGGTGAGTGGGTCAGGACAGCCTCCCCATCCCTCGGTGCTCCCTGTCCCAGGCTCCCCACGTGCATGGCAGGCTACAGTCCTCCGGCAGCTGGACAGTATGCAGACATGAGGGTTTATTCCAGAAGCCTGGCCCTCAGCCTCACGGCAGTTTCCACCATGTTCTGGAACCTCTTGCCAGTGGCAGGCCTTAGTGGGCAAACCCCCAGCTCAGAGCTGGCCCTCAGCAGGTACAGGCCCACACTGCCCTTACAGATGCTGGCTGCCTTGCGTTAGGGAGCCCGGCTGGGAGGCAGAGCCTGTGGCATTTAGCAGCCACCCAGGCCCAGGCAGGCAGCCCCTGATGACCCCGCCCCACAGGACCTGTCCATCGTGCTGGCAGACAGGAACTACACTGTGAGTGGGGCGGACCCCCACGTGCACTTCCAAGTGAAGGCCGGTTCCCTGCACCTGGTGCTGGACATCACCATCGGCAATGGCTACAACCTGACACTTGTCTGGAACAAGCACATGACTGTCTTCATTGAGATTGCACATGCTGCCCAGGTACCCACGCAGTCCTGAGCCCCAGGCCACTGAGGCACAGGGGAAGCACCTGCCTGCCCTGCCTGACTCTGCTCCCCCACAGGGTGCACTCTGCGGGCTGTGCGGCAACTACAATGGGAACATGAAGGACGACTTTGAGACGCGGAGCAAATACGTGGCGTCCAATGAGCTGGAGTTCGTGAACTCCTGGAAGGAGAGCCCACTGTGTGGGGATGCCAGCTTCGAGCTGGACCCCTGCAGCGCCAATGCCTTCCGCCGCTCCTGGGCCGAGCGCAAGTGTGGCATCATCAACAGCCAGACCTTCGCAGCCTGCCACAGCCAGGTTGGCCAGCTCACCACTCCCCTCCCAGGAGGGCATCCTCCGAGGACAGGGGCCCCTGGGACTGAAACCCAGACCTGCTCTGGGGCATGGCCTCCCTGGGCACAGGTGGGATCCTGGTGGATAGCTCCCAGAAGCCTGCAGGACTGACTAGCCCGGCTCCCGTAGGTGTACCGCCTGCCCTACTATGAGGCGTGCGTGCGCGATGCCTGTGGGTGCGACACCGGTGGGGACTGTGAGTGCCTGTGTGATGCCGTGGCCGCCTACGCCAAGGCCTGCCTGGACAAGGGCGTGTGTGTGGACTGGAGGGCCCCGGATTTCTGCCGTGAGTGTCCTGTTCCTGCCCACAGGCTGCTAAGGGGCCATGGCAGGGCTGCCCCAGCAGATGGGTGGTAGGCTGCACACCCCATAGGGAGAGTCCTCAGAGGGCCCCTGGCTGGCACACACCAAGGGCCTTGCTGCACTCTGGCTTAGGGCTGGGCCCCGGCCCACTGCCGCCTAACGATGCGCTCCCTGCAGCCATCTACTGCGGCTTCTACAACACCCACACGCAGGCAGGGGACACCAAGGACCAGCACACCCAGGCGGCCGACTGTACATGGCACTACCAGCCCTGCCTGTGCCCTGGGCGGCCACAGAGCGTGCCGGGCACCAACATCGAAGGTACAGGGAGTGAAGGGGGAAAGGAAGGCCTGACAGGCTTTCCTAGGCGGGTGGAAGAGTGGCCAGGGTGGGGTGAGGATGGCTGACAAGCAGGATGTGGGGAGGCGGGGGTAGGGCTGGAAAGGGGGCACTTGTGTCTGGGGTTCAGGGCAGAGGCTGAGCCTGGGCCTGGGCCTGGATGGGGGTGGAGGGGAGACCAGGGCCTCCTGCTCAGGACACTGAGGTCTGGCCCCTCCTTCTCCCACCCCTAGGCTGCTACAACTGTTCCCAGGATGAGTACTTCGACCAGGACGAGGGCCTGTGTGTGCCGTGCCGTAAGCTCACCCGACTGCCCGGGCCCCACACACAGAGCTCCCAGCCCCTGAACAAGCCTCTGCCGGCCCCTACACCCCGACTCCCAGGCAGCTCTGAGCCCAGACAGCAGAAAAACAGGGGAACCATCAGGCCTCTCCTCACCTCCCCCATCTCCCCAGACATGACGCCCCAGCCCCCCACCCCAGGGCAAAGCCCCCAGCTTCTGGTTTGTGGGTGAACAGCAGGAGTCACCTGGGAATCGGGTGATAGGCAAACTGAAGGGCTGCCAAAGGTGGGCTCTGGACACCACCTGCAGCTTATCTCAACTGGCAAGCACCCTGACTCGCACCCTGGGGACATGCCTGAAGGTTCAAAGGGCCTGGCTGGGCAGGGACAGCGCCCTGACCGGCCCTCTTCCCGCAGTGCCACCGCTCACCACACCGCCACCCAGCACAGGTGATTACACGCACACTGACTGCCGTGGTAAAGCACACCTTCTCCCCAATGTTCCCTGGATCAGCTGGGCACCCGTGGCCAGTCCACTGGGGCCAGCAAGGAGCCAGTGGCTCTAAAGCCTCAGTGGGGGGTGGAGGGGTGAGCGAGGGAGCCACATGGGCTGCATTGCGCAGTGGAGCCAGCAGGTGCTGACCAGAAAGTCAGAGGGAGGGGATGGGAAGCTGGGATCTGGGCCCACCAGTGGCCGGCACACCACAGCCCCTGGCAGGGGGATGCATGGCATGTGGGCCCAGCAACCAAGAGAAGAGGTTCCTCCTAAATGGCGTGCTAGGGCCAGACACCCACCCAGCAGTGACAGCACCTCTGCCCCTCAGGCTCACCCTCCACAGAAGCCAAGCCCACTACGGCCACCCTGAGCACCACGGCAACACACAGGACCACTGGGCTTCTCAGTTCCCCTGGACCCTCTGCAAGTTCCCCACTGACAACTGTGGCCCCCACCCTTCCAGCCACAACCATGGGCCCCTCCTCCACACAGGCAGGGACAGCCATGACCACCCAGACTGAACAAACGGTCTCCTCAGGAGGTAAGCCCCCA